TATATATATATATATTATATATATATATATATATAATATATTGATAATATATGTAAATGTATATATTTATATATGTATATATATATATATAGGATTGGAAATCGCATCTCGTCAACGTTAACAATGGTATCCCTCACATAACTGGCATATACTCTACAAAACTAGCACCAACAACCACACAACCACACAACCACACACCCACACACTCACACACACACCCAACCACCTGCGTGCATGGCTCTAACATGCGCATCTACAGCTGTGCACTGTGGCTGTGTACCTACCTAACACCTCCCGACGCAGCCCCGCGGCAGTCGCACTCAAAACTACGCCTGCGCAGGTCCCGCAACGCATACACACTCAGCCCAGTCAACTCCGCACTCAGTCCACTGCTCAGCAGATCTCTGCGGCTGAGCTGTCGCTGGTGCATTCGCGTGTCCTTGTCTGTCTCTGCCTGTGCCTCGCCTGTGCCTGGTGTGCCTGTGCCTGGTGTGCCTGTGCCTGGTGTGCCTGTGGGGTGTGTGCTGATGCGGCTGATCCCGTGGTGCGTGTCGTCTGTGTCGATGGTGATGTCTGGGCTGACTGAGTTGGTACTACTAAAGTTATCCTTCCCATTCCCCTTCCCCTTTCCCTTTCCCTTGTCCCTGTCCACATGCCCAGCCCCATCTGCAGGGCTCCATTGCGTGCCGTCATGCGCTGCCGTGTCCGCGTGCACCTCTGCCCTGTCCATGGGCCCTCTGTGTGTGTTACTCGTGTCTCTGCGCTGCGTCGTGGGCGTGTTGGTAGTGCCGGTCGCCCGGGCGTGTTGCCGGGTGACATTGTCCTTGCTGTCAAGGCTCATGCCAGCCGAAAGACCAGTTCGGTACCTGAAGAATTCACTCTGTTTCCCACCGTATGCACTGTCCCTGCCTTCCTTCCCCCCCCCCCCCCAACTACCATCCACCTCAACCCCGTAACCACACGGCCCTTGGTTACTAAACCCACTGTTGGCCACAGGGTCACTACACACACACTGGTTCACCCCCCTTCTACCCAAGCCAGTACTACGCTCTGGCGCAGGTGCTGCTATCGCCGCACTACCTACACTGCTCACGCGTGGGATGGAGAGGTTGTCGTTGTGTACGGCGTCGCGCCCGTGTGACGTCTCGGCGGTCTCTTCTGTGGTGGCTCTGGGCGATGGCATGCTTTTGCAGGAGGATAGGGTCTTGGCTTCTGAGGGGTGTGCAATCAATGCGTAAGTGCATGAGTATGAGATAGATGCAATGTGATATGTGCAAGGACTGTGACCCAGAGTGTCTTGTTGTAGGTATGTGGTGTGATAGCAGACAGCTGGCCACCACGACTCCAGCCAGTCACTTCCCGCCATGTGCAGTGTAAGCAAGGCTGTTGCATAGCATACGCGTAACAGCTGTAGAGGTGTACATATACGTGTAACAGCTGTAGAGGTGTGCACACAGCCTCACGGCGTGTGCATGCTGGTGCACCAAAGACAACCGCACCGAACCCTTATGTTGCATAGCGTTGGTAGCATAAGCCTATGTATAGCGTATCTGCAGCGTATGCACACTCTGTAGGACATACCTGGCTTGACTTCCAGGCCAGGGCTGGTGGCGCCAAGGGTCGACTCATACGCCTCGATGCGCAAGTAGACATTCTCCACCACGTGGCGCAGTCTGAACACGGTCTTCCACGTCGCCACATCTGAACCGTGAGTTGTGATTGGGTTTTAGGGTTTTCATGATCTCTGATTGGGTTTTAGGGTTCTCATGAGTTATGATTGGGTTTAGGGTTTTCATGATTTGTCATTGGGTTTTAGGGTTTTCATGATTTGTGATTGGGTTTTAGGGTTTTCAAGATTTGTGATTGGGTTTTAGGGTTTTCATGATTTGTGATTGGGTTTAGGGTTTTCATGATTTGTGATTGGGTTTCAGGACTTTCATGATTTGTGATTGGGTTTAATAAGAGCTTGGTATTGACTACGTGAGAAAGGCAGCAGCACCAATATTCGTGCGCCTGCTCAGAGTGGATGCAAACCCAGAGCTTCTAGTTAAAAACTCTAATGAGTGCGATCTAGTTGGCATTTGATCCGAGGTAATGTAAAACTACGGTGAAATGGGTGTGCTACGCAACAGCAACACTATGCGTGCGACAGCCCAGAGTGGTTACAGTCCCAATACACTTGGTGCATGCAGTGAAGACGTACACATAATTAAGCAACACATGCAGATGGCGCTTTAGCTCGTTGAACAGCTCATAATGGGAGATAGAAAGCCCCATATTCCATACACATCCACTGTGTGGAACCGTGCCGCAATGCACTCAACTAGCATTCACATCCACCCTCATTTCAACACCACACCACACCACACCACACCACACCACACAGTACAACTCAACCCAGCGGATGCCATCGTATTGAGCCTATAAGCCGCTGCCCAGCTACGGAGAGACCTGACACACTCAGTATCTCTTAAACTATCGACCCCACCCCCCCCCCCCCCGCGCGCCTTTCTTCGATAATAAACAGGCGTCCCGTCTAATCCACACACGCACCTGTTCTGGTGGTGCATGGTTCATTTGGGCAGATGACCTCTATCGCCCACAGAGTGTCCGTGATGACGTCATCGTCCTGCGTGAGCTTCATGACGTCATCGACCAGTGACGTTTCCAGCACCTCGGGACTGCACGTCACGTGGAATGGGGTGTCGTTTGATTACATGACGAGTCGCATACTAGATCAATTGGCACACAAAAAAACTGTCTCTCTGTTTTAACGGAATGATCAAGTGGGGCGAACGACAGCAGACGGGCGCCATAAAGAAAGACCTATCCGTTTAACGGAATGATCACGTGGTGTGTATTGGACAAACACGCGCACGGAGAAGAGTGCAAGCCGAATACGTGCAACACGCAAACAACAGCCAAGCAAGTGACCTACACCAGCCTATGCCGTGACATCTGAGTGGCACGTACGCCAACTTACATAAGGGCCTTGCCTGAAACAATATATGCACTCGTATCTCTGTAACTAAATCTGTCACTGTGGCCGGGTATATGTACTACCACACTTCATGCATATAACTCTTGGTTTCCGTGTTCATGCACATACACTTTCGTAGTTTTGTACGACTACGTACACCCTATGTAAGACTAGTCCCACCTACAAACAACCAGGCTATCGCAGATACACACATATATATATATATGACATATGTATATATATATATATGTATATATATATATATATATATATATACATCAAAGGAACATCGACTACTCACTCGTCCTCTGACCGGCGACAGGCGAGGGACTGGTCGTGTTCGGGATGGAACAGGCGGATCACATCGCCCCCAAACAAGAAGCGTTGACGGTGAGGTGTGTACTCCAAATAGCGGATGAACTGGGTGGCAGAAAGACCAAGCAACATATCATGAGGACGCGAGTGGGCACTGGCCCCAGATGTATAGATACATAGATGCATGTATAGATACATAGATGCATGTATAGATACACAGATGCATGTATAGGTACATAGAGGCATGTATAGATACATAGATGCATGTATAGATACATAGATGCATGTATAGATACATAGATGCATGTATAGATACACAGATGCATGTATAGATACATAGAGGCATGTATAGATACATAGATGCATGTATAGATACATAGATGCATGTATAGATACATAGATGAATGAACGCCACTTGATTGGACCATGAAACGCGTAGATCACAGGCACACCTTGCAGTCGTATGCCAGCAGCATACATACACTCGACAGGTATGTGTACAACGTCTGAGCGTGCACTGGCCGAGTTACACACACAAACACTGCACATACGCTTGTTGTTAATGTACATATACGAACCCTGGAGGTTGTGTATACATACTGATATACGCTTGTTGTCAGTTAAGTACATACAAACCCCTGAAGATGTGCACACACACTACACATACACTTGTTGCCAAGATACACATACACAAAATCTTGAAGCTATATACATTTATACCGCATGCGGCTTTGGTAGGCCAGACAACACCATCCCATTACGACCACGCTCTACTGGCATCCACACAGGTCTAACCAGTACACGAATCATCAGCAGCAAAAAAACACACTCTTAAATGTCATGAACTGGCACTTAAATGAAATAAACACACTTTAAAAGACATGATTGTACAAACAGTGGACGGTGAGCGTATACACTCAGTGTATGTACATTCGACCACACTAAAATAATACACATTTCATTTATACATATATATATATATATATATATATATATATAAATATAAATATATATATATATATATATATATATATATATATATATATATATATATATATGTATATGTATATATATATATATATATATATATATATATATATATATATATATATATATGTTGTGGGG